AAGTAAATAAAATCAGGTTAAAATCAGGTAAATAAAACCAGATTTAAAAGAAATGATGAATGTCTTTGGGATGATTATTAGAGTGATTTTGATAGATCTAAGTAGATGAAAAATGTGTTTGCCACAGGCAAAAGAAAAGAACAGGAGGAATTAAACTTTAATATTAATAATGAATAGTAGCAGTGGTAGAATTTTGGAATCTTGGTTTGGAAGTCCTACTTGTGAGCATCCTTCTTACCTTTTTTCTCTTTTAAGAAACTGGATTGACCAGACTGACGCTCATTTCAGATGGTCTGAAGATACTGTAGTAAGAAGAATCCTGAAGAGATAGATCTATTAAGTGCCCTATTAACTCATATTCCTGCAATAAATGGAATGTTGATCATCCTTCAAATACAAAACCTGTCTGCAGTTTGCAATGAACTGGGCATGCTTATTTAGGCCAAGGGAGGGGAAGAATGGTCAGAGATTATGGGATTTGTATTCCAGGTAGGTCCTTAGGTTTTGCCTAATAACAAGAGGCATGTACAATGCTATTTATATCCTTTTGTATTGCACCACAAATAAAAGACATGGCATCATTGGCCAAACTTTTCCATTCAGTCCATAACAACATCTCACCAATCTCTATCCCAGCATATTGGGGGTAGGGGGGGGTAGGAGGGGGGTGGAGATAGCAATAATAGCATTTATATACTGCTTTATAGTGATTTATAGCATTCTCTGGGTGGTTTACAACCTCAGCATTATTTGCATATTGCTCCCAACAATCTGGATCTTCATTTTACCAATCTCGGAAGGATGGAATCTTGACAGGGGTGGGATTCAAAAATCCCAGCAACCGGTCCACTGCCTGGTTGCTGGGTGGGCGTGGCCATGGTGGGCATGGCCTACCGGAACTTCCGGGAGGGCTGCTTTTTGCTTCCCTTGGGATTCGGGGAGGGCAAAAATGGCCTCCCCTGGGGTACAGAGGCCCTCCAGAAGCTTGAAACAGGCCCGTTTCCAGACTTCCAGAAGGCCCATTTTTCACCCTATCACAGCCTCTGCATGGACCCTGCACTTACCTGCATCCAAAACGGGCCACATGGAGACTCCTGGGAGGGGAGGGGTTGGTGGGGCCAGCCAGTTGGTTCAACTACCGGTTCGACAAACCACTTGTAAATTTAACATCTGGTTCACCCAAACCGGTCTGAACCGGCTGAAGTCCACCCCTGAATCTTGAGCCCTGTCAGGATTGAACTCCAGGTTGTGGACAGAGTTTGCCTGCAATACTGCACTTAGCCACTGCTCCACCAGGGCTCCTCAAAATAGGGGTTGGGTGCCTTTCGGAAGATTAAAAGTGTGGGAGCCAAGTCTTTGCTCATGGCTGATTTAACTATGCTTTTTCCTAGTGTCAGAATTGTTAAAAATGTTCCTGTTCTTTCTGAAGAACAGATTGAAGGCATAGCAAGCATATACTGTATTATTGTCAACTTGGTTTTAGGATTGCAAATGTTTCATGACCATATTAAGCAACATCATTTACGTAGGAAATATAGAGAAGAAGTATGTGAGCTGGTGGGGCATCGCTGCAGCCCCACTTAAAATATTGTCAATCCTGGATACCACAATTTAAAAGAGTGACAAATTAGAGTAAATTAGGAGAAAGACTACTTAGAAGGTAAGATGTGTTAGGTATAACATTGATACCAAATATGGTTTGGGTGAATAAATAT